TAACTAGAACCGCGTCCGCGGACACTGTACGGTATGCAGAAGCAATGGGTAGTTCCCCTCTGCGCTGGACCGAAGACATTTGAATCCAGTATTTTTTGACTTTCAATGCATCGGCCCAAATTTCTGCCCCGTACAGGAGCACCGACTGGACTGCTGTCATCAGAAGCTTCCTGCGGCACGGCCTCGGGCCGCCCACGTTCGCCATCAGCCGGCTTAGAGCCACCGTGCTCTGCGCAGCTTTCTCACATACTCCATGGATGTGTTCCCAGAATGTGAGTTTTCTGTCAAGCTTCACCCCTAGGTATTTTGTAGACCCCGAAGTTGTCACGAGTTGAGGACCGACCATCATGTTTACAATTGTTGGGATCCGTTTCCTGGTGAGGAGCACGATCTCTGTTTTGGCTGTAGCCAATTGCAGACCGTGATCGCTCATCCATCCACTGGCGTTGCGCATGACCTGGTTTAGCTTGAGCTGTGCTAGCTGGACGTTTCTTGCTGTTATGACGGCGGCCACGTCGTCCGCGAAGGCGACGAGGAAGGCGCTCTCCGGCATTTCCGTGCACAACAGACTGTCATACGTGGTGTTCCAGAGGTCCGGGCCAAGTACAGACCCCTGTGCCGCTCCGCCGGTTATACGTCTCTTTCTCTGACCTTGTGTTGTGTCGTACAAAAGCCAACGGTCTCTAAGGTAGTCCCGGATCATATCTAGCAAGTATGTTGGAACCTTGAATGACCGTTGCAGGGCCTCCAGCATGTGTCAGCACTATTGGCCGCGCCTGGTGGCAGGCTTCTTCGGCCTTATGTACCGCCTCGACTACTTCGCCAATTTCTCCTATAGTTGAGTGTCCTTTCCTGAAGCTATGTCGTCGGGGTGAAAGGCCTCCCTCGCTTTCTATGGCTGACGGCAAGCGTATTTTGAGCAGACTCTCCATCATCTTGCCTGCTATGTCTAGCATGCAGAGTGGCCGGAAGGATGAAGGAGAGTTTGGGTCCCCTTTGCCCTTTGGTATAAGCACCAGTTCCGCCTTCTTCAATTGGCTTGGGAACACCCGGGCCCTAAGGCAGCTGTTGTACATGTTAAGCAGGAGATCAGGGCTCGTTTTCGCTGCTATCCTGATTGCCTCCGCTGGTATGCCATATGGGTCTGGAGCTTTTCCGGAATTCACGCTTCGCAGGGCTAGCTTCAGCTCTGTCGAAAACAGTGGTACCTCGGCTTGCTCCTCGATGAACACCGTATCTGCTCTTAGTGGAAGTGTGGGAAATAGTGCATCCACTATATTCTTAACTCGGGCCTCATCCATCCCTTGCGATGATATATGGAACTTTTTCATCACTATTTTGTATCCCTGGCCCCAGGGATCACGATCCACTTCGTCACATAGCGCTTTCCAGCAGTTCCGTTTACTCTTCTGTATCTCGGCGCCAAGTGCTTTCTTAGCGCTTTTATAGGCTGCTGCTCTGGTCAGCGCCTCAGGTCTGCCACGAGCGCGCGTTGCGAGTCTCCGCATTCTATGGCAGGCCCTTCGCAGCTCTGCAATTCGGTCATTCCACCAGTATACCTGCTTTTTACCTGACCATGCTCTCCTCTGCGGCATTGAATTATTATTATTATATTTTATTATTACTAATATTTATTATTATTATTATTACTATTTATTATTATTATTATTTATTATTATTATTATTATTATTATTATTATTATTATTTATTTTTATTATTAGTGTGCTATTTGTACTGTAACTTTGTACGTATGAAAATAATCGAAGAACGGAAGCAGTATGTTTGTAAGAAGAATTCATTTCCAACAAATGTGTGCAAGTTTATAAATCATGAGTATAAACGAATGAGGGAGAGGTTAAAATATCAGCAACCAATTATAGCGTTATGTGTACCCTCCTTAATGGGTAACATTTTCAGAAAAACTGTGTGCATCAAAATGTTAATACAAACAAAACTTTGTAATGTTACCTGTAGAGCTCTACAAAATAACAGGTTAGAAATTGGCGCCAAACTAATTTTAAGTTTTGTATATGTATGTATATACAAAAGTACTACGCTCTATAGTACTTTCATATGCACGTACATACATACGTTCTTTCAAGTTTTGTAATATTAGAACAGAAAAGTAACCATCAATCTAAAGTACAAAGCTTAAATCAATATATCAATATCTATCTATATATATATATATATGGAATATTGTATATATATATATATATATATGTACATACATTAAATCCATAAAAGAGTGATTTGTCATGCACATATTTCTTATTGTTATTTCTTAAACTACCCTAAGCCTCTACACAATGTACATTTGTATATAGTAAGGAAACCCGAAGTGATAAGAAAGAAAAAATTCTAACAAAAGTGATTACAATTTTATAAAGTAAATAATTAAGCGATATTATGCTCTGTTTACAATATTCCAGTTCTATAAAGGCCAGTGAAATAAACACTACAGTAGCCATGAAGATAAAAATAAAATAACATTAATACGTAACTTAACAAAAACAGTGTTTGTAAAATGGAACATTTAAATCGAATTTTGTTTTAATGAAATTCAATTTCATCGTTTTTCGTTGAATTGCTTTGCTAATTTTCGATATGATACCAGAAATTTAGTACAATATATAAGGAGCTATCAACTGTGGCAGATATTGATCCTGATAAATTTTTGCTTTATCATGCTTTCTTAATTAAATTGCTCATTACACATAGTTTCTTCAATTCTCTCCCGGTGTGAATAACTTTTCAGAATAGTAATACAAAATTTACTATTGCAGTATTGGCCAAACTCATTGAGAACGGACCATCTCATGAATGACCAGGGATTTAGCCAAATAAATTGGTGGCTGTTACCAGCGTTGCCATAACTGAAGATTTATCTTCAACATGAAGATTTGTTGGGCTGTTTTTATTATTGAAAATCTTCAAAAGAAATAGAAAACATATTTGTGTATGATGTAAGATTTTAATGAAATTATTTCGGTGTTGATACTAATATAATATTAAATAAATTAAGCCCGCCGCTCAAACTGGAATTTGCCCAAAACGGTTTTTAATTTGTATATTGTTAAATGTAACGAAATACTTGGCCGTTGTGATTTCAGTAAATGTAAAAGTGAATAATATTCAAGATATTGATTCCGAGTGGAGAGAGATAAGATTTCTTGATTTTAATGAACCTGAATTGTCTGCTGAAACAGGTTTAGAGAAATTTTTGGAAACAATTTTAAACTTGAAAACAATGGATACTTCCCTTCGGTTTCCATTATTAGGACCACTTTGACCGATTTTAACATCACCTATATTTATTTATTTATTTATTTGGTCTACAGAAAAATGTTTTCCTACAGACAAATGAGAGTAGAACATTTAGATATTTAAGTATGTGTGATATATTACAGAATAGACTAATTATACATATTAATTTGTAATAATAATAATAATAATAATAATAATAATAATAATAATAATAATAATAATAATAA